CCTCGGAGCCTTCTCCTCTCCAGACTGAGCAGCCCCAACTCTCTCAGTCTGTCCTCACAGCAGAGCTGCTCCAGCCCTCGGATCATTCTCGGGGCCCTTCTCTGGACGCGCTCCAGCAGCTCCACGTCCCTCTTGTCCTGGGGGCTCCAGAACTGGATGCAGTGCTCCAGGTGGGGTCTCACGAGAGCAGAGCAGAGGGGGAGAATCACCTCCCTCCACCTGCTGGCCACACTTCTCTTGATGCAGCCCAGGATCTGCTATGAGAGCTGCACCAAATGCCACCCTGGTCCTGGAGGTGCTGTGCGTACCCTACCCAGCGAGGTGAGCCCTGTTTCCAAGCTCTGTGAGCATCCTGGGGACAAAGCAGAGCTATTCGTTTTTGCGGAGAGACCTCTTTATAAATTACTGGACTCTAGAGAGAGAGGGTCAAGGACCTGTTTATCTGTGAAGAGTCCATAAGGGATATGGGTAGGGTAGCACGAGGTGAAGGACGAGAAGCAAGCTTCTTTGCTCTTTTGCTCTGTCTGGTTTAAAAATTCTCGGCATTTGCAACCCAGTTTGGTGCGACGTGCAAATAGTTTTGGTCACTAGATGGCAATAAAGAATCAATGAGCTCTTCCCTGTTCCCCTTGGAATCTTTCTAAGAGCTTGGTCTAGATTTGCTTTGGGAGAAAGGACTAGAATATACTAGAGAAACCATCAAAACAAGGGTACAATTATTCTGCTTTTTAGTAAGGATTTGTATTACTATTGTCTGTTTCTTAAAAAAAAATAAAATATCTGATTAAAAGTATAATTCTGAGTAAGAAAAGAGCACTCAGCCTCACCAGGACCCGTACTCAAAGAGCACGGTATCATACTCCTGAAACACTTCTGATGTTTCAAATACGCTGTGATTCCAGTGTTCTACCCTGCATCTTAAGATATATTTTTATTATTTAGCAATGACAGGAGACAATACATTTCTCTATGCCCCTCCTCACCCCATGACAGTTTACCTACATGCCTCTCCATATGTTTTTTTTCTTTAAACAATTTTTGGTCATAGTGAAAACTTTAATACAAATCTATGATACCAGAGTGAAGCACACCTTGTACCTGTCCA